GAGTTCCCAACACCACTTCCTGCAGTTGTCTGAGTTTTCCTGGGGTATTTCACAGTGTGATTCTGCTTCAACTGTAAACCAAATGACAGCAAACTGCACAGAATATATGTGTGTGTGTGTGTGTGTGTGTGTGTGTGTGTGTGTGTGTGTATTGCCTTGATCGGATTAATTGTTCTGTTGCTTTGATCAAATAACTGAACTTGAATCAACCCACTCATCTTTTAAAGAGCCCTGTTGGTGGATCTAAAACCCCTTCAGACTTTCATGTTCAGGGCATTCCAAGGCTTTCACAAACATCTGGCAAGTGTAAGCCATGATGTTCACCACCTGTGCCCTGTTCCACCTTCCCTCCCCTTTGCACCAAATGCCATGCAAGAAGAGGCTTGTACAGGCCACCTGGTCACTCTGGGGACAGAGGACTGTGCAGGATCAGTGGTGGCAGGATCAGTGGAGGATGCAGGATCAGTGGTGGCAAATGTGGAAGATGAGTGTAAGGGCACATTGTGTTGTGTCTGCCGCTCAGTCCCTTCTGTTCTGCTGTCTCAGGTAATGACTGACCTGTGGGATGGTGACAGGCACCTCCGTGAGGTTCTTGTTCAGACACATGACATGGCGCTTGATGTTATCACAAAGGCAGGTTCGTGGGCAGCGCTCGGTAGCCACTCTCCTGAGTGAGAAGAGGGTTGACACCAGGAGAAAGCCCAGGGAGCCCCTCATTCTGGAAAGCAGCTAAGTGTGAGAGAGAGGAAAGAGGTGCCCTGGTTAGACAGCACCAGGCATTTTGACAGCACATTTCCGCTCCCTAGATCGCAAATGCCCTTCAGGCAATGTCCACAGGCATCGCTGTGGAAGTTGTATGGATTGCGTAGTTTGGGAGAAGGAGGGACCAGGCATAGGGAAAGTGCCTGTGTGAAAGTGCAGAGTGAAGCTGAAGTTATTACAGGATGTAACAATCCACATAGAGATTTGGGCACAGCCTTGAGATTGATTCGCCTGCTCTGGCACAAAGCGCTGCGAGTGCTTCAGTCACCAAAAGTGGTTGGGACCATGGACTCGCCTCTTCTCTAAAAGACAGCACCTCCAGCAGCATGTTTATCTTTCACACCAACCTCAGTTTAACCAAAGCCTCAGTCCAGCAGGGCACTTAGTTGCAGGCATAGCTTTAAGCATGTGAACAGTGTCTCAAGCCCATGCCTGTCTTTCCTTGGCTCTTAGCCTGTATTGCCCAGACCAGGAAGCAGCCCAGGCCACGTGAGGCAGCGAGCATGCTCTGAGCACATGGAGTGGCGTGCCCTGTGCTGTTTGAGCATATTAGGGTGCCAGGAGACAACGCACTGGCAGCAGTACTAGGGTCCTTTTGAATGGCCACCGGAGAGTGGCAAAAGTCTGTATGGAAGGGTCTGGAGCTGTGCGGGAGGGAAATCTCACAAGGGGGCGAGAATAATAAATGCCCATGTTCACATCTACACCAGGGCTCCCCACACTGCTCACGCAAAGAAGGTGAACCTCACATGGACAAGCAAGTTTCCATAGCCAGATCAATGCCAGTTTTCCATCTGCTGTTCTGGTAATGAATGGTGCTGCTGACCTGCTGTATCACAGTCCTCTGCAGATACTACCCTCCAGGATGACCACCTCTTCTAGTCCAGGAGGGTCTCACCCATTTCTCCATAAAGGCACATACCTGCTCTACCCCACTACTGCTGTTCCAGCCCTGGGCTCCCCCCAGCCCTGTGACACCTCAAGGCTGAGCAGCAGCACCCAGTGCTCCTCCTTCCTGATCAACACACACACACACCCCAACACACATATGCACACTCCAACACTCAATGGCAACAAATGTCACTGATTCCAGTCCCAGGCCTTCCCAACCCCAGTCCGGCCCTGCCGTGCCTGCAGCACTCCCTGTTCCTGAATAGCAGGATCTCCCTGAGCAGAGACTGCTGAGCTGTTCCTAAGGACACACGGCTTGTGTGACATGGGCTAACGTCCAGCATGGGGAGCTACATTAAGATTCTTGAAACCAGTTTGACTTAAAGCAGGAAAAATGCCTGCTCTCACAGCAGTGTCAGGGCGGCTCATTAGTTTCCATCTGCAATCCAGCACTCTCTTTCTGTCCAAGTACCCAGAGACTTACCTAGATGTTGCCTCCAGGTCGTTCACCAGGAAGACATCGGGAACTGAAAAGAGTGAAACTGTTACAGCAAAGAAAGAGGAAGTAAAACACCTTTCCTCAGCAGTCACCAGGATCCTGTGAATTCTCTTGTGTGTGTGTTTGGCTTGTACTTGACTTGAGAGCTGAATGGAGCATTGTGCTGCTTTCCCGGCAGCACTTGCACACACACACTGCCAGGAGGAGGGGAAAAAGAAGCAAAACTTAGAGTGAAGTGCTGCCTTTGAGAGAGCAGTGGCTAATGAAATGCTTCTGTACTTAGCAGGAGCTGGGGGAGCCATAGGTAGAGGCAGTTCTGTGAGACTGAAAGCCAATACCTTGAGAGACTTGATACTATTTAAAATAATACAGCAGTGTTGGATCTAAACTGATTCTCGTGCCCGTTTCTCTCCTTTCCTCTATGTGTACATAGGCTAATTGTATATGTAAAAAGCCCAGAGTAATCCAACATTACAGTTTACCACTGAAGTGCCTGTACATCAAATATTAGCATCTCCTTTGTACTTGTCATTTGGCCCTTTTGTACATATATGGTAGTAATAACTCTACCATGCTATGACTTACCAGTACATGGTGAACCAGAGCTGATGTTGGAAAAAGGTTTCTTAATATCCAGACTGTTCTCTAAAAATCTCTAGCATAAGGTTGTATGCACTTATTTTCATTTAAGGAAATGTGTGCAGGCAGTGTGTATCTGTGAGAGACAGAGAGAAGGGTTTTTTTGCTTTGCAGAGAGAGTTGGAAGAAAAGAAGAGTACTTTTGCACCACTGTATTTTTCCACCACTGCCTCCGTCCCTCTGGTATGTGTGCATCTCCTGAGGGATCTCAGAGGATTCACTGTGCAGCAAAAGCTTAGAAAAAATTGACATAACTCTCCCTTTGTTTAATGTTTTTTTTCTTTCAACTCTTCCTGGCTCCTGGGATGCATGGAGGAGCTTGCATGTGCGTGTTCCAGTTATGGTTGGTCATTCTCCACTCCCCTCTGCAACAGGCCATATGTGTTACAGTTTGGTCACTGTCTCCTTGTAATGCTCACTCCTGTCAATCACCCCAGATTACTCGACTAGGGAAGAATTGGCATTAAAGTCTTTTCTATAGAAAAGTGTTTAAGTGTGATTTTTTTTCCCTTTTTAACAAAGGAAATAGCTGAAGAGCACTGAGTTCACTTCCTTACCAAATGTCTTGGCTTAGGTTGCTGATCCTTAACAGGCATTAGCATGTTTCCTTGTATCTCTTGTGGGCTCTCACTGGTCTCATGGGGACTCCACATGGAGCAGGGGTCCACAGAGTTCACAACAGGAGCCTCTGCATGTGTCGCTGTCAGCTGAGGGCTATGACAGTCTGTCTGGAACAATGTCAGCACTGGCCTGGCGTGGGCTGTTAAACTCAGACTTGTGTGGATGAGGACTTTGTGGAGGTGAGACATTTCAGCTCTCTAGCCAGCCTATTCTGAGAAGGCTTCTTGCTCAGTAAGTCCAACTAGCTTTGTATAGAGAGTGAGGTACAAACATCCAGCCAAGGTCACCTGGATGGCAGGAGGCTGTTTTCCTTTTAGCAGAGCTCAGGCTACTGCTCTGCAGGGGGCATTAAGTCACTGAGATGATCAAAGTGTGCACCAGCCACATGATCATCAGCTAAATAGCAGCTGAAATGATCCAGAGACAGAGCAGCAAGGGTTCCCCAGGCCTCTCTGTCTCCTGGCCCAAAGGAGGCATCTCTCCAGGGCCACAGCCTGCTACCAGTTTGGCCCACAGAGAGCAGAATGGGGCCCTCAGCCAGTCAAAGGCCCCATGTCTTCCTGCCTTCCTTCCTTGAGTGGTCCCTCTGACCCAGCACCTTTTTGTGCACGTCAAGGCTGCAGGATGAAACACAATGTGTTTGCCTGGTTGACCCAATGCTTTAAGCTCCGCACAGTTGCCGGTAGCATAACTAAGGTGGGGGCAACACTAAATACAAACTTAGGGCTTGGGACAGAAGTTACACATAACCCAGTTTAAGTGATCAGAAACTGGTTTAAACCTGTAAAAGAACTGAAGCTCAGTGCACATAAACCAATTTCAACATGGCTGAAACTGGTTTAAGATGCATCCTGC